GAAATCAAATAGAAACAAACGTTTCACCTATCTATTGCATAAAATTATATATAAACTCTTTGTATTATTGTACATAGACTTTGGTTTTCACACTTTTAGTTTTTTTTTTGGGTTAAAATTTTTTTAAGTCAGGATAGTTTTTTCACTTCAAGGTCATGTCATACATAAGGTCTAATTAGGATTTATATAAAAATTTATATATTACGCGTCAAGAGTGACGGTGGTATGATTCAAATTTAATCTTGCAAGCTCAAATTATTGACTTCCAATCACATGTACCAACAGTCGTTAGTTTCATATTTTTCTATTAATTTAATTTCTCTATTTTTCATATTTAAAAGTTTAAATTTAATTGTTACTATCATTAAATTTAAATCCATTTACATTTTAAACTAACAAATATTAATTTGACGATCGTATTAAAACATGTTGTAACTAACTTGAATTTAATAAAATAAAATAATTCTTTTAGCAAATAGACTAATTTTGAAATGGTACGAAAGTAATCAATTAATTATATATTTAGAAGTAATTGGTGAGTAACTAAACTTGTGCTTGAATTTGAATTCAACTGACTCCACTAAAAAAAAACTCTTTCCACAATTACTTTTTCTCTGCAGCAGCAGTTATTTTTTATCGTTAGTTACACAATTTTCTACCTCTCACACGGTCATTTTTCTGTACTGTTGTTCTTCTTTTCCATTAATTTTTATCTATTTTTACTAGTTTTCAATTATAGCTTAACATATTTTAATCATAATGTTTTTCTTGACTTTTTTTTTTAAAAGATATCATAGTTATCGATATTTTTGTAATTTCGGTATAAATTTCTTGTATTGGCCTTCTTCTAAGTCTATGTTTCTACGTGCTTTCATAGTTGGTTGCTTTCCCGATGTCTAGTATCATTGTTTGTTTGTCCATGAAGATTCGTTGGTTATCAAATAGCTCTGTCGGATGAGATTACCGTTAAGAGAGATTGTTTTTTTCATTTGTCTGTTTTGGATCTTCTTCAAGTTGTTTTCCTCCATGTTTAGTACTTGAGGCGTTGGAGTGATATGTTTATGTACGTCGCTACCTCAATTGTATACACATTTGCTTATCAAGCTATCACTAGTTGATCATTATTATATTTTACTTATGATAGTCACGATTGTATTTGTTCAATCTATATTTAGCACAATATTGTTCATGATGCTCTTGAGAAATGAATATATCATAGTTCTACTTTAAAAAAAAAAACTTTAATTGCTCTCATCTGTTCTATTGTTTCACGCTTTTTTATTAACTTAGGATGATTATAAACAATAATATTTGTTCTAAAGATTTTTAATCATTTGATAATAAATATTTAAAGATCCTACAATTGTTGGTGCTCTAACTCAAACTTTTAAAGATAACAATCATCTTTTAAACTATTTAAGTCACTTAATTCATATAATAAAATAATAATATATTTAAATATTTTTATAAGAAAAATCAACCCCAAATCAGATGGCCCAAGTAAAAAAAGTAATCTCTTTTGCCAACCCGTAAATAATACAATCAAAACCATGAATACAATAAATCGCAAACTTTATATTAATCTAAACATTGCTTGGTCAGCAACTAAGGAAGTATCATAAAAGATGACTATGAGATTTATTTTATAAATGGAAGGTGTAGTTGGACAATCTTTTTTAGTTAATAAAAAATATAGTTCTATACTTTAAATTTTTTTAAGAATGATCAAATTATAATTTTATCATTTTAGAGAGTCAAAAAACAATCCTACTATATACTAATTATAACTGTAAGGTGATCCCTAAAGAGGCATGTGCATCACAACACAGATTGTTGGTTTTGGTGTTTCGCGTACGCCACGGGCGGAGCACTCATAAGAGGGCTAAACTTGGTAAACCTAGGATCCTTTGGAAGAACTTACATGGAGCGACAACTGATGACTTTAGGAGTAAGATTATGTCTAATACAGGTTTTGGAACTACAAACTCAAATAATGTAGATATGTTATGGAAAAATATGGCATATTTCATCAGAGAGGTGGGCAAAAACACCCTTGGGTTGTCGACAGGGAAGGTCAAGGAGCATAAATAATCGTGGTGGTGGAACGACGAAGTCCAAACTAAGGTAAAGACAAAGCAAATTTGCTTTAAGGAGTATCTACAATGCAATGACGACGAAGAAAGATCGAGAGCTAAACAGATACAAGGAGGTGAAGCGGGAAGCCAAGAAAACGGTGGCTAAAGCAAAGGATAAGGCATACGAGGAAATGTACAAGAGATTAGACACCAAGGAATGACAAAACGACATCTTCAGGCTAGAAAAATCCAGGGAGAATAGGAAAAAGGATCTAGGTAGCATTAGGTTTATTAAGGATAACAATGGTGTTCTTTTAGTGAAAGATCATTATATTAAGAGGGTTTGGGGTAGTTACTTCTTTGGCTTATTTAATGACGGTGCCTCTCCCTGTAGAGATAGTAACGTTGATGGGTCAGCCGACTATCATACTACGACCAATGAATGCCCTACAAGTAGGATTGAGTTTGAGGAAGTCAAAATGGGTCTTAGAAAGATGGGGGGACAAAGCTGTCGGCCCAGATCAAATTCCTATTACTGTGTGGTTGGCCCTAGGAGAAAAGGGAGTTAAGTGGTTGATCAACATCTTTAATATTATTTTAGAGACTGCCAAGATGCCAAAGGAGTGGTGAGAGTCTACGGTGATACCAATCTATAAGAATAAAGGAGATCCCCAACGTTGTGGAAACTACAGAGGTATTAAACTACTCAGCCATACCATAAAGCTATGGGAAAGGGTGATAGAAGCTACGTTGAGACAGGTTACTAGGGTTTCGGAAAACTAATTTGGCTTTATGCCAGACAGGTCTACTACGGAGGCGATTCATCTACTTCGACGGCTTATGGAGAAATATAGGGAAAAAATAGAGATCTTCACATGGCGTTCATTTACCTTGAGAAGGCGTATGATATTGTTCCTCGCGATACGATCTGGAAGACCTTGGAAACGAGACGGATCCCAACTGTTTATATCTGGGCGATTCGTGATATGTACTGTAGATCTACTACATACGTCAGGACTACAGTTGGCGATACCGAGGCATTCCCGGTGTAAATTGGACTCCACCAGGGGTCGGCTCTTAGCCCTTACATCTTCGCCTTGATTATGGAAGACATCTATTGTGCGACACCAGACGGTGTTCCATGGTGTATGCTTTTCGCTGACGACATTGTCCTAGTTTTTGAAACAAGAACTGAGCTAAATAGTAGACTGACTACCTGGAAGACTGCTTTGGAAGGAAAAGGTCTAAGGCTCAATATTGCAAAGACAGAGTATTTAAGTTTAAACTTCAGTGGGAACCAAAACGATGAAGATGTAGAGGTATGCATTGAAGGACACATTCTCCCCTCAAAGGATTGTTTCAAGTACCTAGGGTCTATGATACATAAAGATAGGGGTGTAGATGATGACGTTACACACCGTATAAAGGCAGGATGACTAAAGTGGAGGGCTACTACCGGCGTTTTGTGTGACAATAAGGTGTCTCTAAAACTTAAGGGAAAATTTTATAGAATGACAATAAGACCAGCTCTGCTGTATAGATCAGAATGTTGGACAATCAAGAAGGATCACGTAAGGAGGATGGAGGCCGCAGAAATGAGAATGCTTCGATGGGCATGTGGTAGGACTCTTTGGGATATGACACCAAACTCTACTATTAGGATGTCCTTGGGGTGGTGCTTGTATCCGAAAAATTGAGGGAGGGAAGATTACGGTGGTTTGGGCATGTCCTTAGGTGACAATCGTCAGATGCAGTCAGGAGGGTAGAGTCGATTACAGTCGATGGTGCCAGAAGGAGAGGACGACCAAGGCGAAAGTGGGAAGACTGCTTGATCTGATTTGAAGGATTTAGCCCTTACCGAGGACATGACTTCTGATAGGAAAGTATGGAGACTTAAGACCAGGGTAGCCGAGTAGTACGGGTCACATCCATAGGGTGTATCATATCTGTCTTCTTTTAATGTCTTTGTAGAAATTTCCATGACTTCTACTTTTTATACGTTTTTGTCATTGGAATTTATGAAGGCTTAGAACTAGAGTAGCGGAGAAGTGTTGCCTTAGTTTATGTTATAACCCATTTGACTTTATTCATTCACGTTGTTTGCTATCGTTGACTTCTGTGTATCATTCTCTTCATGTTTCATCTTTTTAATTTTAGATCTTACGTTTCTGTCTATATGCAGAGCTTTTTACGTAGGGATTACTTTGCAGGGATTACTTCCCATTACAGACGCACATATGTAGACTGCATATGAAGACTATTCAACTATGCATTTATTTATTTATTTATACATGCATTGCATTTTATCTTTATTTTTAATTTTCTAACTGCCGGAGGTCTTCCACGGAAGCTGCTCTCAACCTGGCGTTGGGGGCAACCTACTACCCTACCTCCCCCTTACCCCATTGTATATGAGAATAGGGTTTTGTTGTTGTTGTTGTTGCTTTTTAATAAGATAAGTTCAGTTCATTGGGTTGAATGCTCAGCCTAAATAAGTTTATATAATTGGATCCCAAAACCCAAATACTCCTTATAATTATTAGGGCTTAATTGATGCTATTCGGCCTTTGTTTTACTTCACATTAAAGTAAAGCCCACAGCCTCACAATTTCCAGTAATCGGCCACGTGTATAACTATTATTTGGGCTATGCTAAGGACACGCCTTGTAATATAATAGAAAGAAATGAATGCTCCACGACAAATCCACGAACACCCTTAAACTACGGTCCACATTCATCCACGTCATCAAACTTACTTTAAAAAGCGTATCCAATCCACGGCATTGCAGCTACCAAAACTGAAAGTCCCCAATATACGCCTCTTTATCCCCTAGCTGCCTCATTTAAAGCCTATTTCAGTCATTTAATAAATAGATAAAATAAAAAAGATCATCATAAATACTCATTTTTCAACCGCTCTTGCGCTTTTCTTTTCTGATTTTCATTTCGTCGAACAATGGCGACCAATTTGATTCGTCGAGCGATAAATATTAAATCGCGCGTGTCGTCGTCGACGGTTTATACGGAAGCCCCGGCGTCGAGGATGGTGTTGGACCGTCCCTACGCCAGCGAGGTTGAAGCTCAAAAGGTGGAACCGAAAGCCACCGGCGGTTCCAACATGAAAACCTTCCAAATTTACCGATGGAACCCGGAAAACCCCTCGAAACCCCAACTACAGGACTTCAAAATCGACTTAAAAGAATGCGGACCCATGGTGCTCGATGCCTTAATCAAGATCAAGAACGAGATGGATCCGACGCTCACTTTCCGTCGCTCCTGCCGTGAAGGAATCTGCGGTTCTTGTGCAATGAACATCGACGGTTGTAACGGGCTAGCTTGCCTTACCAAGATTGAATCTGGAGCGTCGGAGACGACGATTACGCCGTTGCCGCATATGTTTGTGATAAAAGATCTGGTGGTTGATATGACCAACTTTTATAATCAGTACAAGAGTATTGAGCCTTGGTTGAAGAGGAAGAATCCACCGCCTGCGGCGGGAAAAGAGATTCCGCAGTCTAGAAAGGATAGAGCGAAGTTGGATGGCATGTATGAGTGTATTTTGTGTGCTTGTTGCAGTACGAGCTGTCCAAGCTATTGGTGGAATCCTGAATCTTATTTGGGTCCTGCTGCTTTGCTTCACGCAAACAGGTAATCATAGTCATACTAATGATCATTTTGGGTTTTATTTTTTTTTAATTTGATGTTGTTGATGGTTTTTGGTATTTATTTGATTGGTTGACAGGAAAGAAGCTAGCTTTTGATTTCTTAATTTTTATGTTAATGGCGGTTTGTGTATTTATAAAGCTTCTTAACTATATGCTCTCAAATGCAGATGGATAAGTGACAGTCGTGACGAATACACAAAGGAGAGATTGGATGCCATAAACGACGAGTTTAAGCTGTATCGTTGCCATACAATATTGAACTGCGCTCGTGCTTGCCCCAAGGGTCTGAATCCAGGAAAACAGATCCAACACATCAAGCAGCTTCAGCTCACTGCTGGTGCTTAAAGTTTCATACTTTACAATAATTTGTTGTGTATTAAACCAGTTAATCTGGATTGTTTTTGTGAGGACTCCTTGATGCCAATAATTGTATTCTGTATTTAGAACCCTTGTTCATTTGGTATAATGCCAAATTTGATCATTTATAGCTAGTTTATGTATGTTAATGCTTATATGAGATCTAAACAGAAGAATTCCCTTTCACTTGTACATACTCCAGTTTCCATAATCTGTTTCAGATTTTTGAATGCACTTAAATTTCAATAAAATTCTTTAATAATAATTAATATTTAATGTAGTCTTAATCAATTTCTCAAGGCACATAAATGTTGTGGCAATATGTTATTAAATAGTAGTAATTACATAAAGAAATACTGCATACAAATATGAATTTGCTAAAGTTTGAAAGGGATTTTTTGTTTTACAGCCCCTGCATTTCATCCAATTCTAGACAACCTGCATTAGAATTTAGTGGTATAGTGGTATTCATACAACTGACGTGCGAAATTTTACAATCTTGTAAAGCCTTAAGCATTCTGGATATTTGGTGATGTATTCTCATGAGCAGTCATCGCGATTTGTGCAGCAAGAGAACGACCTAAAACTCTTTCTCTCTTTTCCGGGGCACGCATGAAGCAAGTGTTCTTAATTGAAGACTTCCGATGAGGGAGAGAGTTTTTTCTTTCGGAAATGCTTGCTTTGCTGGGAGTGGACTTTCTTCCTAGGGCAGGTGTTTCTGGTTTTGTGAATGTAACATATGAAGAGGAACAACAGAAAGTAAATAGGAATACTTTAGCTACGAATTAATATTATAGAACCAGGTCAAACAAAATAACTAGTTTACCTTTTGAATCTGATCTTTAGGTGTTCTTTCTTTATAAAAATCTGGCAATGGTCTTGCCTTGAAGCAAAAGCTTTGTCGTAGTTTCTTGAGTTCGGTCCCTGCTTTTTCCTGCAACAATATCTGTTAACTCAGATATGCTCTACTTGATATTTTCATCATTTGATCCTATAAAGAAAAAAACCTTGAGAGTTGTTCGCTGCTGTACTTTTTGTTCCTGAGTAACATTGAATTTCTCTTCAAGCCTCTGAAAAAAGATGGAGAAAATGACAAGCTTAATGAATTTATATAATTCATTGATGCACATCATATTCATCAGATATAAAACAATAAAGGTAAAGCAGATGGTTTATATTGAGACTTGCCTGTTTTCTTCTAGCAGCTCTTTCTTCAGTTCTCAAACTGAAGGATACAAATATACCAGGTGATTGTGATTTGTTTCTGCGGCCACTCAAAATCCTAGAACAACTGGCCGAAAAAAGCAACAAAAAAATTATGACTTCAACGTCCCTTTTGAAGAATTTGCAGTAATCAAAGAAAAAAAAGGTTTCTTACTCTGTAGGAAGAAAGCTCCATTTTCCGCAAGCTGTTTTGCTGATACTGGCTGAGGAATTAACCGGTGTTCTACCACTGTAATGCATGATGCATTTAATAAAGGGGTTTTAAAGATAAATTCCGAACATTTCCTATTTTCAATAACTAGAACCTTGTCATCGTTTTATATTGGATTACCTTCGGTTTTCGGACCAAGGGGTGGCTGAGGATTGTTTCGGTTTTCCACTAATAGAAACCTGCAGTAGATGAAAACCCTGTTTATCAAACATGGCAACAAGAACTAGACACAATAGTAAATTGTAAACGAAAATAGAACCTTGCTTGGAGTCCTTAAAGGTGTTGGACATTCTTTAGATGCTTTGGAGCTCGAATCAATTCTTGAACCATCGATCTTCCTGATGCTTGTGGAAGTTGATTTACTGAGTTCTTTTGCAGGGCTGAAGTTGATAGACTTGTGGCTTGATTTTGGTGTTGGTCTCTTTCTTTCAGATGTGTCAATTGCAGCAGACTTCTTGGCCATTGGGGTGAGATTGTTTCCATTATTGGGGTGAAGTGGAGCTTTGAATTTCGCAGGTGAAAATGGCACCTTTGATGTCCTTGCATTAGCTGACACCTTTGAAGAAGAATGTGAAGGTCTCCTCTTGCTTGTTACCTCATATTCATCTTGACTTGTTTTGCCATTCTGCATCACAGCAGCATAGCCGTAGACAGCCAAGTGAAATCTAATTCCCAAAATAATTTGATCTATGGACAAAATCGTTGTGGTATAGTAATGCCAGAGGAATCATTACCGCAAGGCATTGATTTTTGACGAAATGAAAGACATGGTAGAATCGTAATCATAGAATACAACCCTAATCGAAATGCATACATTTGTCTCGTACACTATGGGGATGGTCAGAAGTTATATATTTTACATCCCAGAGGGGCTATAATCGGAGATACCATTGTACATGGACATTGAAAATATTGAAATCAAAACAAAAAAAGTGGATATTTAGATGAACTTATTCACCTTAAGTAGAGGTTTCTCCATTTGAGTTCCTTCACTGAGTTCCAATTCTTTATCACATTCATTAGCTGACACCTTTGAGGAAGAAGAATGTGAAGGTTTCTTCTTGCTTGTTACCTCGGATTCTTCTTGATTTGTTTTACCATTCTGCATCACAGTAGCAACAATGTAAAGCTATCTAAAGCTTTTCATGTATTTAGAGAGGTATATCTTCATACTCATGTTCGAAAAGGTATCGAAAACAAAGAGTCGCATAGAATTGTTTACCTTAAGTAGAGGCTTCTCCATTTGAGTTCCTTCACTGAGCTCCAATTCTTTATTATCTATAATTTCAGCCTTACAAACAACCTCACTCTTTTCAAAAGATTGATTTTTCATGTTATTCTCCAAAAGAACTTGGGGTTCATCAACTGAAGCAGCTAGTATCCCCATATTTCTATTCTCAATCTTCACAAATTCAGAATTAGTCTCTTTACATTCATAAATGGAGCCAGTTTCTGGACCTTGAGCTTCAGTTTCAGTAGCATTAATGGTTGCACTGTTCTTGGCTTGTTCAAGCAAGGCGGCTGCTTTCCTAGCAGCAAGGGTCTTATAGTGAGCTTCAAAGAAAGCTTTCTTTTGAGCCACAGAACCAGGCCTTGCATATCTCTCAGCTTCTTCAACATATTTGTTATGAGAAAACGTAGACCATTTATCCCATGACAAGGATTCCGACATGAATCTCCCGAATGATATCGACTGTCCAAGAACTGGGTTTCCCTGGGAAAAAAATCAGAACCCATTTTTGAAAATTTGGAAGCTTTAAGTTGAGAAAATCTAAAGGAATGTCCATGAAAGCTTTACTGTAAAATCTAAAGGAAGAATCTTTACTGGTATTGAATGAATTATTAGCATAAATTTATATGATAATGAATGGAACTGACCTCCTTGGAATCATTGGGAATACCTGCAGTATAAGAAAATGGTTGCATGAGACAAGCTGAGTCTCCCATGTCTTTGCAAATATCTCCAAACAACAAATGACCCAAATCTTTAACAATTATTCTTTGCAGTGTCTCCCACAAAACTATTGAAGAAAGAGAATTTTCTTTCAAAAAAAAAAACAAACATTTAAATTTGAAATTCAAATGATAATAGCACTAGTGGAGATGAAAAAAAGTGCAAGTTGAGATTTTCTTATCTTATTTTATTATCTAAAGTGGGGTCAAAAACCCGAGCTTCCATGTTTAATTACAAAAGGACTTGGGTTTTTTTTTCATGTTTGGACCCACTTGTTGAAGAACCCCATGAAAATCTTTTAACGTCCATATTGTCGGGAATTTTTTTTGAATTTGAATACAGAACAAGAGCCCCCAACATGTTTTCAAGTTTGGTCTGGATTTTGCTTGGTTTTGATGTTTAAATTTGGAGCATTATTTTTGGCAGCATGTTTAACCAAGTTTGGCCACAACACAAGGTGAAGGGTGTTAGGTTTCCTTGGATGTTCCAAGTTGAACAACCTGTGGTTGAAACATAAAAAAATTATGTCCGCTTTTGGGGATTTAATTGTTGGGAATTCTTGCAAGTTTTGCTTACAATCTGTGCCATCAAAACCATCATTCTTCGAGTGAGTACAAATTTGAGTAGATATACTCTAGCTTTCAGGAAGGTGATAATGGCAATACATAATCTCAAGCATCCAATGCATGTAGTGTAGCTTACTCTAATTTTTTTTTGAATTAATCACTGATATCCGATATAATTAATCGACTAATCCATATCGGATACTGCAGAGGCGAGGGCGACCCTTCTAACCCAATTTGCTCCATTCGCAAACGCTTGTATTCGAACCCCTGACCTTACTTAAGGGACCTAGTACCTCATCTCACTAGACCAACTGATTGTTGGTAGCTTACTCTAATTCTAATATTAAGTTTCAATATTATCCTTTGCCAATTATCTTTTTATGGGTTAAATTCTGTTATTAGTCCTTGTACTATGCTCAAATTGCAGATTTAGTCCGTATACTCTAATTTGGTTATTTCTGATTCTTGTATTTTTAAATTTTACAATAACCATTGAATATGTTAAGTCCAATTTTGTCATTAGTCTTTTGTATTTTACATAAATTGTAATTTAGTTATCTATTCTTCAATTTGATCAAATTTAATCTTTGTAATTTAGTCTTTATACCATTTGGTTTAAAATTAAATTTTAAACTTTGAAAACACACAATTAAGTATGACTAAATTAGAGTACAAGGAATAAATTTATAACTTACACATGCTAAAGAGACTGATAAGAGAATTCAACCTTTTTTTCCCTCTATTCACATATTGTTGAAGAAAAGGAAAAAGTAAATAGACCTTCAAGAAGTAACATGTAGTAAGTTTAAATTCCAAGTCCCTTTTTCTATTTGGAATATACAAAAGTTCACCTTAAAAAGAGAAGTAACATCTAGCAAGAGTGAACAACTTTATCCATGATTTTATGATGCATTGGATGAAAAATATTACTATAGATGGTAACCTTCAAGAGTGCCCTAAGATTCCATGGCAAGCTTGAAATTACAATTCCCGAACAAAATTCAGATAAAAACTGCATGTCTATAAGTTACGTAAACAAGAAGAACAATTTCGACCAAAGATCCAATTTGTCTGGTAGAAAACGATTGAAACCTTGTATTGGCTTCCTACTGTGAAGTCTGTAATAAGATAGTTCTTCTGATCTCAAACTGTCATGATTCATATTCTCAGCTCTTTATTGCACTCAGGGCTTGCTTCAAACCTCTATTTCAAGTAATACTTCTTCTCGACAAACCACTCGTGTTGTTACAAAGATGCATCAGACTTTCGTGTTTGCCAACCACCGTCGTTCATCTTTAGGAATCCTGCATAAGATCTTCGCCGGTTTTTGTTATTTTTACCTTTCAGTGTTCCCTTGCTTCTGTAACTGGAAAACACTACTAACATGACTAATGTAAACCTATCCCGGAAAACACCCATAAAAGAATGATCCAGAACCTTAAAGTACTAAACAGTCCATTCGGGACTTTAGTTAGAGATGATTCTCGAGAATGATTTCCAAGTACCAGATCGCTTTTCATTTCGTTATTCTCAGCAAACATACCGAATTTCCTTGAACTTGTGACATCATTTGTTGTGTCCGATTTTGGATCAGATAAGGTGGTAGGGTCAGGGCAGTTTCTTCTCTTGTGATGCAGAAGCAGTGCTTCATTTAATGATTTTACACATTCGATACTGAGCAGGTCTCGTTGAAGTGAGTCCTCATCGGTTTTTTCAAGTGTTGAAGGATCAGGTGGGTCTGGAAACGTAGCCCAGCATCTATTTACCATATTGGCGTCTCTCCAGTTTGCCTTATCGAAGCTCCAATTCCCTACTTCAAATTCCAAGCCATAGTGGAAAACTCTGTACTTCACCCCGGGTTGAGGAACATAACCCGGATATATTAATATCTCACTGCTTACGGTATGCCGTAACTGCAACTGCATGATGAGACAATACTATTAAAATTAAACTCAAACAGCAAATCAATTCATCAAAGCATATTATCGTCTTTACTCAATATTCTTCTGACTTAAGGAATGTATTGCACTTTGCACATTAAGAGTTATCATTAGTTCCTGAGAAGTTGACTGAAAATGATACCTCGGCTGCACCGAATGAGTAGCCATACATTTCACTGATCCACCCGGATTCATATATATCTCCAGTTATGTTTGTTGCATAATGAGCTCTATCAGCTCGGACCTCCTCAGTTTTAAGCAACCATAGCAGAGCGAATTCCCGGAGATCATCAATATGCATGATTATAACACCTCCAACTTTGTCGCAAGCATCGGGATGGCGAGTATGAAGTTTTGCAAGTTCATTGTCGCAGCCAATAAGGTACCTATCATGCAAAGCCATAAAATAAGTAAAGCAAGTTCACACAAACGCAGAAGGGATAACATTCACAAAGGGTAATCTGGAAATAATTTGAAGAAAAACATTATTCTTTGTTCTCCTCAACTTACTCGTAAGGGGTTGAAACTGGTCGACCGCGTGCTGCATTGAACTCCCATGGTGTAATTGGGCCTCTCAATATCATGTCAGCATCAAGAATAACTATGTATTCTGCATCAGTATTTACATGGTTGAGCCAGTGAACAACAGCAGCTGGTTTATTAATTGCGGGATACCTGAAATGGATCGAGCAACAACAAGTGTCATATGTTAAAGGAAATGGCTATTCCAGTGACTCGATTTAGGAAGCAGGTTGGTCCTCGAAACATGTCAAAGCTAACAAACTCCAAATCGACCACACTAGTTTTCAAGGCTTAAACAATTATATAATCCTAGAATCAAGCCAAACGTCAGTTCAAAACTAATAAGACACTAGACTAACACCAAGTATAGCATGAGCCAGAAGAACTATTAAATAAGAATAATCCAACAATTGAGAGTTTTCCAAAGAAAATAACAATAGATCTAGAATTACCAGTCGCCTGTGAGTGGATGACGGCTCATCGAAGGGACATAATGAGTGGGTGCCAGGTCATGGCCTTTATAATGCTTTAACTCTTCATCTGTACAGCTGAGAAGACGTGTGATATTTCCGGGCTGGCCACTGAGGTGAAAACTGTGCATGAGTCCTACAGTCTGCCAATCAAAGTAAGGAATACATTCCGTAGAAAAGAGCGTGTGAATTTTCGGATATGGTTTTGTGGGTTCATCTATTTCTTTCCGCTCTTCAGCCACCTCAAATTGTACCCTAGGAGGAGTGGGAAGCTTCGGCTGAGTTAGTTCCGCGAAAGTTTTACTTTTCAAAAAGCTTAGATATTTTGACCACTTTGGCTTCAGGCATCCATTTCTGGCATGTTGTAAGAGAAGGCCCTCATTCAAAGTATTAATACACTCTATACTCAAAAATAAGCCACGCCTTTTATTCGGATCCGATTCCATAGCTTTCACCTGCATAAAGAAATGATATACTGTAACAGGAAAGTTGTAGATGCCATAAAACGGTTTTATAAGTCCAATCATCATTAGTTATAATCCACAGTGTTTAGTATACGAATAAAGCAAATGCCATGCATTAAATTTAATTGTAAGAAAGAAATGCATTACATGAAAATAAAAACAAGAACTTAAGCAGGCATTGTAGTGATTCATTCATTTGAGAAGAGGTTAACATACTTCTCGAGGATAAGGAGGTTCGGGAAAGAGTCGCCCACAATCATAAACAATACCATCTTCATGGTGTTGTAATTTAGAGAAAGACCAGTTTCCCACACTAAATGGCAAGCCGTAATGTAGAAGAATAGGCTCAACACCTGGTTGTGGAGTATATCCCGGGTAGATCATCAAGTCGTTGTTGATCTTATGTCTAAGTCCAACCTGAAAAACAAAGAACATAACCGTAAACAAAGATGGATATAAAGATATCACGAACAGCACAGCTGAAGGAGAAAAATCTTTTTGTTCTTATATGTGGGGTAAAATAATCAAAACAACGTACTTCTGCTGCACCAAACGAGTAACCATACATCTCACTAATCCAGCCTGTTCCATAGATGTCACCAGTTATATTAGTCCCCCAGTGAGCTCGGTCTTCACGTACTTCTTCAGTCTTGGAAAGCCACAAAGGTGCCAGAGCTCGAAGATCATCTATATGCATGGCTAAAAGGCCACCAACCTTTTCACAAAGTTCCGGGTGCTTCGTGTGCAATTTCGCCAGAATATTATCACATCCTATCAAGTACCTGAAATACCAAACAATTACAAATATCTAAAGTTAGAACATAGAAAAATGAATGTTGAAGCAGTGTCACAAGTACAATCCTCCGTTTAGGCTTACTTTGCATAAACGAATGAAAAGTTTAGTACCCGTAATAAGCAGCAACAGGCCTGCCTCGCTCCGCGCCAAGTTCCCAAGGTATAATTGGACCGCGAAGGATCATGTCCGCATCCAAAATTACGACCCAATCAACATTCTGTGCATCTTTACTATGTTTTAGCCAGTGGACAACTCCAGCAGGCTTGTTAATTGCAGGATACCTGCAGAC